AACAACTTCCTGTCACTGAAAATCTCAAGCGAAGTTGCAGGAAACGTATGGCCCGGGCTATGACGTCACATGTAAACAAACGCCCCAGCTGATTCGTGACGTCACAAGCCCATACAAACGGAAGGTGTCATATTAACGTTTGGGTTAAGCTATTGTGTTTACATTTATTGTGGCGAAATGTTTTAAAATATCCGTTTTGGTTATTGCAAAGACTTCCATTTAATAATCCTCGTTTCCCATCTGTGATTACTATTTTTCTCTGTTTGTTTCCATCTATCTTTCTGTCTGTCTATATATCTATCTATCTATCAGTCTGTCTATACTATCTATCTATCCATCTAAATATCAATCAGTCTATCTACCTATCTATTTATTTTATCAATCTCCTATCAATCTATCAACCAATCTCTACCAAATCTATCAATCTACCTATCTACCTATCATTCTATCTATCGATTTATCTACCTATCAATCTATCCATCCATCTATCAATTTATCAATCTATCTATCGATTTATCTACCTATCAATCTATCCATCGATTTTATCTACCTATCAACCAATCTACCTATCAATTTATCAATCTATCTATCGATTTATCTACCTATCAATCTATCGATTTATCTACCTATCAATCTATCCATCCATCTATCAATCTATCTACATACAGGGGATCCTCGACCCACGATAGCGTCGTAACCCCAAATCTGACGTAAATCGGGACACACGTGAATGCAGTACATGTAAGTACGTACATAAGCACCGAAGTCACTCACATATGCTAAAGCAGAATGTATACATGTGTTAAAGTCATAATCTAAAACCTAAATAAGACACTTCCATGACGTACAAGAAAACATAACAGGGCTAAAGGAACGCATGGAAGACAAACTGTAAATACTGGACATGATTTCTCGCGTCGTAAATCGAGGCTCCCTGTATAGATCTTCCTTATACTCATTACATATATATATAGTATATATATATATATATATATATATATATATATATATATATATATATATATATATATATATATATATATATATATATATATATATATATATATATATATATATATATATATATATATTAGTATATTGTATACATATATATATATATATATATATTATTTCTCTTCTTCCTTCTTCTTCTTCTCTCCTCCTTCTTTCCTTCTCTCCTCCTCCTTCTTCTTCTCTTCCCTCTCCTCCTCCTCCCCCTCCTCTTCCTCCTCCTCCTCCTCCTCTCGCTCCTCCTCCTCCTCCTCCTCCTCCTCCTTCTCCTCTTCCTCCTCCTTCCTCCTCCTCCTTCTTCTCCTCCTCCTTCCTCCTCCTCCTCCTTCTCCTCTCCTCCTCCTCCTCCTCCTCCTCTTCTTCTTCTTCTGCTCCTCCTCCTTCTCCTTCTTCTCCTCTCCTCCTCCTCCTCCTCCTCTCCTCCTCCTCCTCCTTCCTCCTCCCTCTCTCTTCTCCTCCTCCACTCCCCTCGCTCCTCCCCTCTCCCCTCCTCCTCCTCCCTCCTCCTCCTCCCTGCCTCCTCCTCCTCCCCCTCTCCTCCTCCTCCTCTCCTCCTCCTCCTCCTCCTCCTCCTCCTCCTCCCCCTCTCCTCCTTCTCCTCCTCGCTTCCCTCCTCCTTCCTCCCCCTCTCCTCCACTTCTTCCTCCTTCAATCATTCATCATCAACAGCTGAGGCCAATTAGAAGAGGACTGAGGAGTGGCTTCCTTAGTTGCAAAACAGCTGAGTGGAAGGAAACAGCTGATCGCCGAGTTTTTCCCACGATTACTAATAGATAAATAGATAGATAGATAAATAAATGAATGAATAAATAAATAAATAGATAGTAACTAAACAAATGCATAAATAGATGAGTGAATAAAAAATGAATAAATAAATAAATAAATAAAAATGAATAAATAGATAAATGAATGAATGAATAAATAAATGGATAGGTAGATAAATAAAGAGTAAATAAATAAATAGATAAAGAAATAAAGGAAGAAAATATATATATATAATTCTTTCCTTTTTGTTTTTATATTGTATTTTGTTCATTCCAAAGAATAAAAATAAGATTACGCGAATAAAAGATGTGAAAAAAATAAGAAATGGGGTAACGAAAAAGAAAATTAAGACGAAAATGATAATAATAAATCAATAACCAAAATATTACATGGATTTGGAGAAAATATATAACAAAAGCAGAAGGAAATTCGTATTCGAGTGAAATAATTCTCGAAAAATAAAGATAAATTGCAGTTTCATCGAAGTATTTTCATGGAGGTCGCAAACTTAATATTCTCAAATATATTAAAAATATTCTTAAAACATGGTCATCTTACAGCGAAAAGGGAGGAAAATAGATTAAAAATTGGAAATACAAATGGCGGCTGAAGCGAAATCTGTTTTGGCGCCAAATTGTCTGCAAGTCAAGCGCTAATTGGCTGCGGTATGTGTGACGTCACGAGCGCTCCCATAGAAAGGTTTATGACGTCACGGTTCTACTCT